GAGACGCTGAGTAAACAGACATATTCATAGCTATTTCATATGGGATAGAACAATAAGTTAAAATAGAGGTTTAGATGAATTATTTCCAGTGAATATTGATCAGAGGAGTTTTCCTGATATTGTATTTCTCTCTCAGCTCTTTGGTTGATTTGCAGGCTGTTGATCAGAGTGAGGGCTCTGTCTGTAACTTGTCTTCAGCTCCTCTAAGTTTAGATCTTAAATCATCTAAAACTGTTTCATTTAGTTCTCTTCAATGGAGTGAATGACAGTTGGAGAAAAAGGTATACTTTATGTTTTAAAGTTTTCTTATAAATGCTGAAATCACCAGTGAAGCTTTGGCGCCCCCTAGTGGGCAGATTGGGAACCGAAGGTCAGCAACACCAGACCCGGACTTTATATATGGACTCAGTGCCGGCCAGCGCTGTCGTATAGGGGTGAAGGTGATGACAATTCTAAGGGCCCACAGCCCATTAGGGCCCACACGCAGCCCCCAGTTGCCTCTATGACTAAATTATTATGCATAGACTTAACTAATATATATTCATACTAATGAATCCAAGCTAAAACAAAGCCAAAAAGTCACGCAATATTTTAATTTGAATGTTTTCAGTAACCCCTTTGGCCCCTTCTTAAAAAATGGTTTGGTCCACGGTTCGTTCTTCCTCATGGGAATTAAGTGAGCGCGAGCGAACTCCAGCAGAGAGTGAGGGAGATCAAATAAGATGATGGCCCCCAAAAAACACAAATCTGGACCCCAGAAAAGACTTGAGAGGGAGGCCAGGAGTAGGAGCAGCAGAGCAGGGGCCCAGGACATCAAACATTTTTCTCAAAGAATGGTGACGTTAGATGTCATCGGGTGAGAGGCGGGCTACACTCTGGACAAGTCGCCAGTTCATTGTAGAGCAGGGGTGGCCAACCAGTCAGAGACTAAGAGCCACATTTTTACTGTGTTACTGCAAAGAGCCACATCATATTTTTTTCTCTTTTTGAGACCCTCCCTGCGTGGGGGCTCCTTCCCTTTGCTGAAAATGTGTAGTCCCCAGGCCCAAAGAACAAAGCATGCCATTAACAGCCACATAGTCCATATAACAGTGCCATGCCTGTTGTCATCTTTCACCAATACTGACTTTAATGGTGTCAGATTAACACTCCTTACCATCTCACTATCACTAAGGACAGCAACTGTCGATAAGGTTCCTGTAAAATTATCCTTCCTCCCTGGTGGTCTAGTGGTTAGGATTCGGTGCTCTCACCGCCGCGGCCCACGTTCGATTCCCGGTCAGGGAATGTGCTTTTCGTACACGTTTCAGGTCCAATTCCGAAATAAAAGCCGCTTCACTCTAACTAGGCTAAGCGAGCTAACAGCAGTTACCGACGGAGGAGTCGAGCCTTCGTTGCCTCCCTCATGGTACAAATTAGCGGGTTCACCCGGGTGTGACGTTCACATCAATGCCGATCAGAGGTGAAGCCGATTAATATCAGGTGTTAACGGGTTTCCATAGGTTTTTTGGGCAGTGTGAAAATGGCTATACACAACACAAAATTCGATATGAGCTGCGGGTTGGCCAAGCCTGTGAGCAACGACTCCTAGTGTAGCTAACTGAACGTTACTAATGTGGAGGCTATCTACAGCGGACTGTTTCACACATATTATCACTGTCTGACAGTGCTCCAGTAAGCACCCACTCAGGGGCCGTCTACACGAATACGTTTTTTTCAGAATCCGGATAAATACTTTATCGTATCGGCCTCGTGTCCAGACGGATACGACGTTTACAGGGTGTGAAAACATTATATTTTGGAAACAGGTCCCAGAGTGGGAAAATCCGAAAACACCGGATTGCCCGGAGTCGTCTGGACAGCAAAAACTGATTTCTTCCGAAACGATGACGTATTAGCCTTCAACCTCAGCCGCCACCGCTAGACGCGTCATAATAATAACAACAATGGCGGAGTACTACTACTTGTTTGTAAGCAGCGCATGCTCCATGGCTTCTCTTCCGGTTTTAGTGTATTGGTGTGGCGGTGTCACAGCACCATATACAGGCCTGGCATATGTACTACAGCGTTTTGGGTCGTTTCAGTGAATCCGTGTGGACGCAGATATTTCTGGAAACGACGCTGTGTTTACGGAGATTTTTTTCGAAACGGCATCGTATTGGGTGGGGCCGCGTATTCGTGTGGACCCAGTTACGAGGCTGCATTCAATTGTATTATGACGCATTCAAGTTCTACTCAGTAATTATGAGCATTGGGCGAAGGTCAATTACGTTGTCATGATGTGTTCAATGTGGTCTTGTAAAATGTTGTTATTGCTTGGACGTTTGAATTGCCTTAATACAAAAAAAGTTAAATGTTCAAAGATTTTTTGTTGTTGTTTTCACAACAATATAAAAGACACCATAATAGCTGACAATAACAACGTAAAAAGACAATTTAGAATTTGAGTCCTTATTTTACCCCAGAAGCTCTGTAATGTCCACATTGACCTGCAGATGACATATAAATGAAGTTGTGTTAAAATGTCTCCTTTTTCTCTGTCACATCGCGATATGGGAGCTCGCCATCGTGCTCGCGCCCACTCCATCCAGATCATGAAGGTGCAGGTCATCGCCGCCAACAAGTGTCGCAGACCCGCCATCAAGCAGTTCCACGTGAGTGTCTCTGGACTGCCTCCACGTTGTCAGCTAAAGTTTAAAAACCCGCCAGACAAAAAAGCCAGATTCCTCTTCCAGATTTCCAGCTTCCATCTTCAGTATCTTTATATAATACTGCAGGGGGTACCTGGCATTTTATTTAAAAGAATAAACTAATTACAAGTTCTATATATTTTTAGTGCAATCGTTAGCTGCTGTGAGCTTCTTCCTCTTTATATTCACTTTATTTTCTACCTGAAATGTTTTGTGCCGGTCAGGAGCTACTGGGCTGGAAATTGTTTTAATGAAAATCTGGATCTCGGTCACCAAAAAGAGCCTTCAGTCTTCAGAAGGACAGCGCCCCCTTTTGGGTGAAACCACCTGTAAAAATTCCTAAAAGCTGCTGCGTCACATAAAAGAAAACTAAGATTTTCTTTATTTCCCAAAAGAGTGAAGGACAATACAAGATCTGTGTTAATGATGTTACTGAGTCAATGTGAGCAGATTGTGTCTGTAGATTGAAGAGAATCAGAGTCTCACTGATGGTAGAAATAAAGGTTTTATTTCCTTAAAACAGACGTTTTTTTTTGTTTGACAGTGTGGAGAAGAGGGTGTTTTAACATTAATAATTCCCATAAACTGAGCTCACCTACCTTCTAATAATGAACCTTGTAAACAGCATAAAGGAACAGGAAGTGGAGATAAAACCCTCCTGTTTAATTCTTCTGTGGTCTCATAGTAAAAGGTTGATTAATAAACACAAACAGAGGTATTATATGAAATATAAGTATGTTATATTAAGTATATTTATATTATATTAAGTATATGGCTGCTGACTGTCAGAATAGATGTAGAAAACACAATAATCATTTTTGTTTGTTAAGTTGCGCAGCAAAACTCCCTGTGAGGAACCAGAGAGACACCAGTTAACACGGTCACTCTTTATACCACAACACCGGTAGTGCAGTCTTCATTTATGTTTTAAATGTGTTTAGACTGAAACAAGAAGCAGGACTCAAATGCATGATTCACACACGGGTGCTTGATGTAAAACAGTCTTAAATTGCCGGAAAGGAGTTGGTACACAGAAGTCCAAAAACAGAACAATGTCGGGGGACATGAAGTCGGAGGCGGACCACCACAGGGTTGATGGGGAAGGGACCCACAAACCGAGAAGCTACTCGGATAGGGCAGGAGTCCGCCAGGGATCTGATGTCCTCTTGGTATGAGCCGAGCTCCTCAAGAGTATCTGACGGACCCACTCCAGATCCACCGGCAACAGCGTAAGAGAGCCTGAGTAGAGGGTTGACCAGAAGATGAGTGGCGTGTGCGTACTGAACCCATATGAGATGTTTACTACAGGAGGATGGGTCCTGAGAGACATCGTAAACCCCACAGTTGTTTATTATAGCGATGCAGTTCAGCAACCTGATAACGGGTATACAGGGACTGGTTATGATTCCTCTGTCAGTCACTGCTGGATGAAGCTCTCCTCTCCACTCCACCTCCCAGTAACATGGCCCAGTCAGAGCTGATGCTGCTGCTTCAACCTCTCTGGATCATCAGGACACAGCGGATCCTCCAACACAACCTCCTTCCTCACTGCTCAGAGTCTGACTGAGAACTCTTCCAGCTGAGGAGAGAAGGAGACAGACAACAGCAGTGATAAATCAGTGTTTACAGAGACTCCCTCCATCAGCACATCCAGTATAAAGACCAGCAGGGACTTCAGTCCAGTTCAGACCAGCAGTGGAGCGGCTGTGTAGCGTAGCCTGCTTCATTTCAGCTCTCAAGTTAACGTATTGGAGTGAACACACTGAGCTGAAGCTCACAGACCTGCAGACACTTTGGACATCAAGTCTGCTGACTGCAGATTTCACTGAAGTACACAGTGGAAATAAAGTGCTGAGAGTCCCTGAATGCATCATTACTGCAGAAACAGAGAGACATTCACTGCCCACTGGAATGATGCATTTATTGCTGTTAGGGTTCAAAGCTGATAAAAACCACAGTCTCAGTCACATTTGAATGTTTCATCTGAAATCTTACAGGACAAATGTGTAAATATTCAAACTATTTGGACAAACAAGAGACAAATGGACAGATATATATCTGATGTTAAAGGTCCTACATGTTCATACAAAGACTGAACAGCAACACATCAGCTGTGGGTACTGGACTCCAGCAGAGGTCCTGGTCTGTACAAAGACCACATGGTCACTAAATGTAATGATGGTTGTTTGCAGGCTTCAGTCAGACTGATCTCAGAGCTGTGACAAAGACCAACTGATCAGTTGGGTAGTGTAGAAATTAGAGAACAAGACTGCTGGAACCAGCATGGACTGACTCAGACCCTCTACTGACCTCAGAGTCTCCAGACTACCGTGCGGACTCTCCACAAGATCAGACAGCTGCTTCACTCCTGAACCCTTCAGCTTGTTGTTCCTCAGGTTCAGCACTCTCGGATGGGAGGGGTTGGACTTCAGAGCTGAGACCAAAGAAGAGCTGATCTCTGACAACCAGCAGTTCCTCAATCTGAATAAAGAATAAAAGATGTTTAGAATTAAAAAGTTCAGTCAATATAAACAGTTTCATAAAATGTTTGAAAAAGCAAAAACTGAATATTGTTATTGTCTGATAATAAAGTTTATTGAACTATTTATTGTATTTATGTATTTTTATTCTCATTTATTAAAACCATGATGTTAATATCAGATTAAATCCAGAGCTGAAGAGGTTCACAGTGAATTATTCAGTGTAGATTCTTCTTGTTAAATGAAGGTTTTAAATGTAGAGCTCAACATTGCTCTGCCACAGTCAATGCACTAAACCACAGAAGAAGAAAACAGACTTTAGCATTAAGATACTCAGTGTGGATCAGTATAATATCAGCCTTATGTCTGCACTTTACTGTCAGCACAACTTAACATCACATTCATCTCAGCACAGAAATAAAAAATGGTGTCTGACCTCAGAGTCTCCAGTCTACAGTGTGGACTCTCCACAAGATCAGACAGCAGCTTCACTCCTGAACCCTTCAGGTTGTTGTCATTCAGGTTCAGCTCTCTCAGATGGGAGGGGTTGGACTTCAGAGCTGAGCCCAGAGAAGAACAGCTGATCTCTGACAACCAGCAGTTCCTCAATCTGAATAAAGAATAAAAGATGTTTAGAATTAAAAAGTTCAGTCAATATAAACAGTTTCATAAAATGTTTGAAAAAGCAAAAACTGAATATAGTTATTGTCTGATAATAAAGTTTATTGAACTATTTATTGTATTTATGTATTTTTATTCTCATTTATTAAAACCATGATGTTAATATCAGATTAAATCCAGAGCTGAAGAGGTTCACAGTGAATTATTCAGTGTAGATTCTTCTTGTTCTATGAAGGTTTTAAATGTGGAGCTCAACATTGCTCTGCCACAGTCAATGGACTAAACCACTGAAGAAGAAAACAGCCTTTAGCATTAAGATACTCAGTGTGGATCAGTATAATATCAGCCTTATGTCTGCACTTTACTGTCAGCACAACTTAACATCACATTCATCTCAGCACAGAAATAAAACATGGTGTCTGACCTCAGAGTCTCCAGTCTACAGTGTGGACTCTCCAGAAAACCACACAGCAGCTTCACTCCTGAATCCTTCAGGTAGTCGTTGTCACTCAGGTCCAGCTCTCTCAGATGGGAGGGGTTGGACTTCAGAGCTGAGACCAGAGAAGAACAGCTGATCTCTGACAACCTGCAGTTCCTCAATCTGAATAAAGAATAAAAGATGTGAGTTTAGAAGACAATGTTCCTGCTTGAAATCAAGCGACCACGACCTGTCCTAGTCAAGTTTCACAACTTCGCTGACAAACAGAGGGTGTTGGACGCCGCAAGACACAGTGGGACCGTGAAGTACCAGGAGTCCAGCATCATGTTTTTCCAGGATCTGTCAGCCGTGGTTCTGCGCAAACGAAAAGGATTTGAGGATGTGAAGAAACGTCTGCGGGACATTGGGGCTAAATACATGATGCTCTACCCGGCCACGCTGAGAATAATTCATGGTGGGGAAGCCAGGAGCTTCGACTCCCCCGCTAAAGACATGGCTTTTGTTGACACTCTCAGATGAACTACACGTGAGTCACCAGCAGATCTGTTTATGTTCATGGGCAGGTTATCTATCTGGCTTTAAACCATGCCTTGGACTTAGTTTGTTTATGGGCGGATCATATATCTGTGTGAATAATGATGATGGCTCACAAGGCTTAAACTGAACAATTTCAAATAACAACCTTTGCCCTACCGTCCTATGTTTATGGTGATCATGGGTGACTGATAACATGATGTGTAAACCAATATTACAGAGAGTATTTTGTTTTGTTTTGTGGAGGGATGGGGTCCTTATTTTTAATTTGTTTTCCTTTTTTTTTATTTTTATTGGTCTGCTCATCCTTTTTAAGGGTGGATGTTAATATCATTCAGGTGGTGTTATTTGAGCTTGGAGCTATAGGAGAAGTTAATCAAGTTAGTGTCCGGTTATGGAGAAGGTTATAGTAATCCCCTGGTTACCGCGTAGGGAAGGTTCCTCCCACAGTGCTGTTGGCACATCTGTTATTTGTAATCTGTGTTGTCTGTTTTTTTTTCAGCTGGGTTACATTCAGGTACAAAATTTACATAGAGATTATAATACATCTGGGAGCTTAAATCTTTTCAGTAAAAAATGTTATGATCTGTGACACATTGAGGCTGTGCACTTGGAATATTAAGGGTAGCCACTCACCCATCAAAAGAAAAAAAATATTGTTATCTTTGAAAAAGGAAAAGATTGATATCGCCACGTTGCAAGAAACACACCTGAATGAGAAAGAGCACTTAAAGCTGCAATAGTGCAGCTTTGATCAGGTCTATTTTTCATCTTTCACCACCGAAAGCAGAGGGGTCGCAATACTCATTAGGAAAAATTTACCAGTTAAAGTGTCAAAATGTATTCAAGATAAATATGGACGGTTTGTTCTTATTTCAGCCTCCTTACATGGGTAGGACTTTGCTCTCTTAAATGTCTACTGTCCTCCATGTCCCGTTAATTTTTTGACTGAGGCATTTGCCAAATTATCTGATCTTGCGGTGGAAAGTACCATTGTAGGAGCTGACTTTAATTGCCTTATGAATCCTTTGATGGACAGGTTTCCTTTAGGTGCTTTACCCCTATCAAAATAGTCCAAACAAATCATTGGTCTCTGGACACAAGAATTTATTACTTTTTTGCCCCAAAACACCTTTTAGAATCTGTTGTCTCCTGCTCAATCGGAAACATTAAAATATCAGACCATGCAGCAGTGTATATGAATGTTACACTTAAAAAACTCTCTAAGAAACCCACGAGTTGGAGAATGGACCCATCTCAATTTTAAAAGATCACAAATTCATATCATATTTCACTTCAGAATTTAGGCATTTCCTCACCACTAACTCCCCCTCTGTTAATAATTCATCTCTGCTCTGGGAGACCAAGGGGTTGATTATATCCTATACTGCTACCAAAAGACACAGAAATATGGAACAACAAGCTTTATTAGAAAAAAGGTTGAGTATATCGGAGAGGGATTATGTCAAGAAACCTACAGCATCTAAATTGAAGGAAATTACTGCTATTCGCTCCACACGAGACTCATTGCTAACAAAAATGGCAGGGGAAAAATTAGGTTATGCAAAACAAAGATTATTTGAACATGGGGACAAACCAGGAAGACATTTAGCCAATTTAACAAAAAAGCGAAGGGCCTCTCAAATTATTGAGTCAATTTTAGATGAGTCAGGGACTTGCTCCTCTGATTCTAAACTAATTAATGATACTTATAGAAATTTCTATGCAAAATTATATCAGTTGGAACAAGCTAACAATGCTAAAACATTAATGGAAGCTTTTTTCTCCAAACTTCTCCCAACTATATTACAAGACCAGAGATCTAAATTAAATGCCCCGTTATCGGCGGCCAAACTGCCTGAGGCCATTCAACTCCTTCGAACAGGCAAAGCACCAGGCAGTGATGGTCTCGGTAGTGAGTTCTATAAAGAATTTCAAAGACTTTTATTAGAGCCTATGATGAATATGTTTAACCACTCCTTTGAATGTGGCACCCTCCCACCATCACTGAGGGAAGCCAATATTTCACTGATTCTTAAAAAAGGGAAATGCCCTGAGGATTGTGCTTCGTGTAGGCCGATCTCGCTGTTGAATGTGGATTTCAAAATTCTTTCCCAAGTTTTAGCAAGACGCCATGAAGGCCTTCTACGAATCATAGTGAAGGAGGATTATCCAGCTATCTGAACAGCAGGAAATAGATGGTCTTGTGATTTCCCTAGATGCGGAAAAAGCTTTCAACCGTGTTGAATGGTCTTATTTATTTTTTACACTTGATCGGTTCGGCTTAGGTGATAGCTTTATTAGATGGGTGAAGGTCCTGTATACCTAACCAATGGCTGCAGTCGTAACCAACGGATATAGGTCCACAAATTTTGTGGTCCAGAGGGGCAACAGACAGGGCTGTCCTTTGTCGCCACTCTTGTTTGCTGTGGCTATTGAACCTTTAGTGGAAGCTATCAGGCGAGACCCTTTAATGACTGGATTGGATCTGGGTGAAAAATCAAATAAAATTACATTTTATGCAGATTATATGTTGTTGTTCATGTTAAAAGATATAAGTCTGCTCTTCCACCATTGCATTCTGGGATTTCTGGGACACAAAACATTTATTTGTTACACAACTATTTCTGTCACCTTTCATGTGAACAACAGAGTGAAACAGTATGAATGACTTCCAGGAGAGTCTGAACATGTGAGAACTTGGAACTTTGAAAACTCTCCATATTTAAACCATTGTTGCTTTTCACTCCACCTTTCAGTTGGAACAGCTATGAACACTTTTACCTTCAGACGTGGTCAGACAACACGTCGTCCAAATGAGTTCTTTTGGAGGAAAACCCGACCCCTACCACCACACAACAGCCCCCCACCACCTTGTTCAGCACAGTCACTGGATCTAGAAGTTTGTGTAGTAAAGAGTCAGTGAACCAGACTGACACTAGTGTTACTGAGACATCAGTTTATAATCTGACTTTAACCATTTCACTAAATCATAGTCAGGTCAGTTTTATTTATACAGTATCTACAGTGCCATTACTATCTGTACAGCAGACAACTCCCAGCATCCTTAGAGATCATGTTGTTCCTGTTGTATGTTGCACAGATTGTAAATCCCTCTAAGATAAATGAGTTATTTGGGGATATATAAATGAAACTGAGTTGAATTGAAACATCAAAATAAAGGACTGTTACTGACGCTTTACTTTGGTTTTCTTCCTCAGACTTGTATGTGTGAATACAGACGACAGCTTCAATCAATGTTGTAAATACTAGACAGTTCTCCTGGTTGATATTCATAATGTTTGGTTTAATGTGTGAGAGATGAACGCTTTGTGTGACTGAACTGTTGTTGTGATGTTGTTCGTCTGTAATTTGTTCTCAGCTCTGTGTTGTAAAACAGATCCTGATCTTAATCAGACTTTCTGAATAAATAAAACTGAACTCACTCACCAACTGAAACTGCCAACATTGTAACTGTAAACTATAAGTGTGACATACAAATGTTATTTTCAAATGTTTAAAGCCTTTTTTTCAGTTTCAAACTTTAAAAACTTATTTTCAACCATTTATATTTTTGTTTTAATGTCAACAAATCTGAAGGAGATTTTACCTCATAAATATCAACCTGTCTGCACTTTACTGTCAGCACAACTTTCACATCAGATTCATCTCAGCACAGAAATAAATAATAGTGTCTGACCTCAGAGTCTCCAGTCTACAGTGTGGACTCTCCAGAAAACCACACAGCAGCTTCACTCCTGAATCCTGCAGGTAGTTGTTGTTACTCAGGTCCAGCTCTCTCAGATGGGAGGGGTTGGACTTCAGAGCTGAGCCCAGAGAAGAACAGCTGATCTCTGACAAACTGCACCACCTCAATCTGAATAAAGAATAAAAGATGTGAGTTTAGAAGACAATGTTCCTGCTTGAAATCATTCAGTGTTTAATAATCTGTTCAGAGCTGAAGACTGTTTAGAATGTACAAGTTTAGAAAATGGAAACTCCAAACACCTGAACCCAACAGGATGCAGGTTGCAAACTGTAAAATACAAAGAGTGAAAAAGAGCTCTCATTAATATTAATGACAACGTGCTGCTGCTTCAATAAAGACGTAGTGACTTCAGCTCTTAACCTCTGCCAGCTCCACCAGTGGCTCCATCTATACAAACTCATGTTGTGCAGCCAAACACAAAGAAAAAGCCACAGAAAGTGATTGAAGATTCCACTATTAAAGATAAAATGCTGTCATCTTGAGTGTAAATATTCAGTCAGTAGAAACGTCACATATCATCAGAAAGGTTTGGTACAAGCTGATATTTTAATTGTCTGATAGAGAAGAAAATATGTTTCTGTTTGTATTCAGAGGATCATGAGAGAAAGGTGGAAATGAAATGATGAAGAGCTTCAGAGAGAATCAACCAGTGTTGAATTATTAATGTTTTATTAAATATGTTTGAAATATGAAGCTCAACAAGAAGCTCAGTGTTAATCAGCATAAAATCTTTGTGGTCAAACCCCCTCAAAACTGAGATTTTAAAGTTCAGTATAAAGGTTTAGAATTATTAACTATTGTTTAATATTAGATATTTAAATTGTATTGTTATTAGATTAGAGATTACATTACATTAAATTAAACATTATCCAACAAACTTTTTTCAAATATTTAACAATCTCTTTTATGAGATTTAAACCTGTTGTTCCACCAGTGCATGCTGGGATTTCATGTGTTCATCACCAGACTTGTATGTGTGAATACAGACGACAGCTTCAATCAATGTTGTAAATACTCTAGTCATCAGCGTACCTGTGTAGTTATTTATCAGTTCATGTTAACTAAAGAGACCAGATATTGGCATTATAAGTTGACACAGCATCCAATCAGGACACCAGATCACAGGAAAGGTTGGCTTTAAAATTTCCTCATACCAAGTGTGAACTGGATCAGACTGGTTTCTGCTGCTGTGCATCCAACTACTGGAATAAACTGCACAATGAATTCAAGTCAGAGACACTACGAAGTTCTCCTAGTTGATATTCATAATGTTTGGTTCAATGTGTGAGAGATGAACGCTTTGTGTGACTGAACTGTTGTTGTGATTTTGTACGTCTGTAATTTGTTCTCAGCTCTGTGTTGTAAAACAGATCCTGATCTTAATCAGACTTTCTGAATAAATAAAACTGAACTCACTCACCAACTGAGACTGCCAACATTGTAACTGTAAACTATAAGTGTGACATACAAATGTTATTTTCAAATGTTTAAATCCTTTTTTTAATTTTAAAAGTTCAAACTTTAAAAACTCATTTTCAACCCTTTTTATCTTTTTAAGCTTTTAATGTCATCAAATCTGAAGGAGATTTTACCTCATAAATATCAACCTGTCTGCACTTTACTGTCAGCACAACTTAACATCAGATTCATCTCAGCACAGAAATAAAAAATGGTGTCTGACCTCAGAGTCTCCAGTCTACAGTGTGGACTCTCCAGAAAACCACACAGCAGCTTCACTCCTGAATCCTGCAGGTAGTTGTTGTTACTCAGGTCCAGCTCTCTCAGATGGGAGGGGTTGGACTTCAGAGCTGAGACCAGAGAAGAACAGCTGATCTCTGACAAACTGCAGTAATTCAATCTGAATAAAGAATAAAAGATGTGAGTTTAGAAGACAATGTTCCTATTTGAAATCATTCAGTGTTTAATAATCTGTTCAGAGCTGAAGACTGTTTAGAATGTACAAGTTTAGAAAATGGAAACTCCAAACACCTGAACCCAACAGGATGCAGGTTGCAAACTGTAAAATACAAAGAGTGAAAAAGAGCTCTCATTAATATTAATGACAACGTGCTGCTGCTTCAATAAAGACGTAGTGACTTCAGCTCTTAACCTCTGCCAGCTCCACCAGTGGCTCCATCTATACAAACTCATGTTGTGCAGCCAAACACAAAGAAAAAGCCACAGAAAGTGATTGAAGATTCCACTATTAAAGATAAAATGCTGTCATCTTGAGTGTAAATATTCAGTCAGTAGAAACGTCACATATCATCAGAAAGGTTTGGTACAAGCTGATATGTTTATTGCCTGATAGAGAAGAAAATGTGTTTCTGTTTGTATTCAGAGGATCATGAGAGAAAGGTGGAAATGGAATGATGAAGAGCTTCAGAGAGAATCAACCAGTGTTGAATTATTAATGTTTTATTAAATATGTTTGAAATATGAAGCTCAACAAGAAGCTCAGTGTTAATCAGCATAAAATCTTTGTGGTCAAACCCCCTCAAAACTGAGATTTTAAAGTTTAGAATAAAGGTTTAGAATTATTAACTATGGTTTAACATTAAATATTTAAATTGTATTGTTATTAGATTAGAGATTACATTCCATTAAAATAAACATTATCCAACAAACTTTTTTCAAATATTTAACAATCTCTTTTCTGAGATTTAAACCTGTTGTTCCACCAGTGCATGCTGGGATTTCATTTGTTCATCACCAGACTTGTATGTGTGAATACAGACGACAGCTTCAATCAGTGTTGTAAATACTCTAGTCATCAGCGTACCTGTGTAGTTATTTATCAGTTCATGTTAACTAAAGAGACCAGATATTGGCATTATTAGTTGACACAGCATCCAATCAGGACACCAGATCACAGGAAAGGTTGGCTTTAAAACTTCCTCATACCAGGTGTGAACTGGATCAGACTGGTTTCTGCTGCTGTGCATCCAACTACTGGAATAAACTGCACAACGAATTCAAGTCAGAGACACTACGAAGTTCTCCTGGTTGATATTCATAATGTTTGGTTTAATGTGTGAGAGATAAATGCTTTGTGTGACTGAACTGTTGTTGTGATGTTGTTCGTCTGTAATTTGTTCTCAGCTCTGTGTTGTAAAACAGATCCTGATCTTAATCAGACTTTCTGAATAAATAAAACTGAACTCACTCACCAACTGAAACTGCCAACATTGTAAGTGTAAACTATAAGTGTGACATACAAATGTTATTTTCAAATGTTTAAAGCCTTTTTTTCAGTTTTAATAATAAAGAATAATACATTTTATTTATAAGCGCTTTTCTAAGTACTCAAAGACACTATACATAAAAACATAAAAGCAGCAAAACAACATCAAATAATAAAACACTAAAAACACATCAGAATAAGCCTAACATTAAAAGCTATTTTAAAAAGGTGAGGTTTTGTCAATGATTTGAATGTTGGAAGGTCGGTGCAGTCACGGATGTGTTTGGGGAGAGAGTTCCAGACGGAGGGGGCTGCTACAAAGAAGGCTCTGTCGCCCCAGGTTAGGTGCTTGTTCCTGGGTGATGGAGTCAGGAGGTTTGCATCGGATGAGCGGAGGCTACGGGATGGATTGTGGCGATGGAGTGGGTCAGCGAATTCATTAATTTAAAATCTGAGTTCAAACTTTGAAATCTTATTTTAAACCATTTATATCTTTTTTTAGTGTCATTTATTTTGAAGGAGATTTTATCTCATAAATATCACCTGTCTGCACTTTACTGTCAGCACAATTTTCACATCAGATTAATCTCAGCACAGAAATTAAAAATGGTGTCTGACCTCAGAGTCTCCAGTCTACAGTGTGGACTCTCCAGAAAACCACACAGCAGCTTCACTCCTGAATCCTGCAGGTTGTAGTTGTCACTCAGGTCCAGCTCTCTCAGATGGGAGGGGTTGGACTTCAGAGCTGAGCCCAGAGAAGAACAGCTGATCTCTGACAAACTGCAGTCCCTCAATCTGAATAAAGAATAAAAGATGTGAGTTTAGAAGACAATGTTCCTGCTTGAAATCATTCAGTGTTTAATAATCTGTTCAGAGCTGAAGAAGGTTTACAATGTACAAGTTTAGAAAATGGAAACTCCAAACACCTGAACCCAACAGGATGCAGGTTGCAAACTGTAAAATACAAAGAGTGAAAAAGAGCTCTCATTAATATTAATGACAACGTGCTGCTGCTTCAATAAAGACGTAGTGACTTCAGCTCTTAACCTCTGCCAGCTCCACCAGTGGCTCCATCTATACAAACTCATGTTGTGCAGCCAAACACAAAGAAAAAGCCACAGAAAGTGATTGAAGATTCCACTATTAAAGATAAAATTCTGTCATCTTGAGTGTAAATATTCAGTCAGTAGAAACGTCACATATCATCAGGAAGGTTTGGTACAAGCTGATATGTTTATTGTCTGATAGAGAAGAAAATATGTTTCTGTTTGTATTCAGAGGATCATGAGAGAAAGGTTCACAGAGAATCAACCAGTGTTGAATTATTAACGTTTTAGTAAATATGTTTGAAATATGAAACTCAACAAGAAGCTCAGTGTTTATCAGCATAAAATCCTCCAAAACTGTTGATGTTAAAACTGAGAATGTATGAATGTGTTATAGTCAATAGTATTTTTCTCCGCTTTTGGTAATGATAGCGCCAAAATAACCTTTATAGTGGGTCTTCTTAGGGGGAGTGCATTATGCTGGGCTACTGCCGTGTGGGATAATCAGCCAGCAATTAGTTCATCGTTTGACAATTTCATTTTGGAAATGAGGAAGTTGTCTCTTTTCCCTCCACCAGGGGTCCCACAGTGTTCCGCACATTGGCTGTAGTTTCGGGGTGGAATGATGATACACTTCAGAGTGTTTTTTTTTTTAAGAGGGCTCAGTGATCAGGTTAAAGATGAGTTGGCTGCCAGAGATGAGACCACCAGTCTAAACTCTCTCATTTCCCTAGCCATAAGATTGGATAATAGCTTCCGTGAAAGGCGCTGGGAGAGGGCAAACCGTCCCTTATCTCAGTCATCACCTACCTTCTCCAAAGCCTAGCTCCCACTCACCCCCTTTCACCACTTCTGGACTCACGTCACCTGTCTCACCTGAAGAGGAGCCTATGCAACTGGGGCGAGCCCGTCTGTCCCCAGCCGAACGTCAGACTGGTCATTTCTTTGCCACTTGCCCCCTTCGGCCAAAAGGAAGGGCTCATCAGTAGATGTGGAGATACTGGTGAGCCAAACTTCGTCTGTTCCCCGAGCTCGTATGCAATTGCCTGCCACTCTGCTTTGGAATATTGACTCTTTGTGTCTGTTAGCTTTTGTGGATTCTAGAGCAGATGAGAACTTTATGGACCGGGAATTTGCTCTCCAGGCAGGCATTCAGATAACTGCACTCGGCTCCCTCCTGACAGCTAATGCTCTTGATGGAAGGCTTTGGCTCAAGTAACCCACCAAACCGCTCCTGTGCTCCTGTATCTCTCTGGAAACCACCGTGAACATATTCAGTTCTATGTCCTACCATCACCCAATGTACCTCTGATTGTCGAACATCCCTGGTTAATCAAACACAATCCTCATCTGAACTGGACTACTGGTAAGGTGGTGAGTTGGAATAAATCTTGCCATAACTCTTGACCTCCTTTCTGGATCCCCTCTACCTACTAGCTAGGTTTTTTTTTGCTATACTTTTATCGCTGTTTCATCTGAGACTACAGTTGGGTAGCTGTACCACTCACCCAGCTCACCTTCCTCCCCCTTCTCTTGGACCCCTGAAGCTGAGGCTGCATTCACAGAGCTAAAGCACAGATTCACCTCAGCCCCTATTTTGGTTCAGCCTGACCCCAATTGTCAGTTCATTTAAGAGGTGGATGCTTCCGACACTGGAGACGGGGCGGTGTTGTCCCAGCGCTCTATTCCAGACCAATTCCCTGTGCCTTTTTCTCTCGTCGTCTGAATCCAGTAGAGCGGAACTATGATGTTGGTAACAGGGAATTGTTGGCAGTTAAACTAGCCTTGGAGGAGTGGAAACACTGGCTAGAGGGAGCAGAATACCCTTTCATTTGTTTTGACCGACCATAAGAATTTGGTCTACATCCAAACTGCTAAGCGGCCAAACTCTCGCCAGTCCTTGGTGAGGGAGGCCAGACCCAGGTAACGGTCCACCTAATAGACTTTTTGTTCCCGACTATGTCCGTTCTCAGGTGCTTCTGTGGGGGCACACTTCCATGTTTGCCTGCCATCCTGGCATACTCCGTACCCTGTCCCTCCTTAGGCCTACCATGGAAACAGACACCATAGCTTACGTCTCTGCCTGTACTGTGTGTGCCCGCAGAAAAGCCTCCCATCAGGCTCCAGCTGGTTTGCTCCGTCCATTGCCCATACCAGGATACCCCTGGACCAATATAACTCTGGACTTTATCACAGGCCTTCCTCCCTCACAAGGTAACACAGTAATTTCAACTATTGTGGATCGATTCTCCAAAGCTGTCCATTTTGTGGCTCTCCCTAAACTCCCCACAGCTCGTGAGACTGCTGGCCATCTAGTGCATCATGTGTTCCGACTGCATGGGATACCTTCGGACATAGTTTCTGACCGTGGTCCTCAATTCATCTCTCAAGTTTGGAAATCCTTCTGTTCAGCCCTCGGAGCCTCGGTGAGTCTTTCCTCTGGTTTTCACCCCCAGACCAATGGACAAATGGAACAAGCAAATCAGGACCTGGAAGCTACCCTCCGTTGCATCACTGCTAACAATCCATCTTCATGGAGCACACGACTCGCCTGGGTGGAATATTCCCATCACTCCCTCATCAGCGCAGTCACCGGTATGTCCCCATTTCAGTGTTCATTGGGCTATTGGCCCCCTCTGCTCTCTGTTCAGGAGGAGGAGATTGCAGTTCCTTCTGTCCAGGCTCATGTGCGTTGCTGTCAGAAGATCTGGAGAGATGCCCGCTCGGCCCTGCTTCTCTCCAGAGACCGCAACCGCCAAATTGCTAACCGTTGCCGGAATCCTGTTCCTGCCTACAAACCAGGTCAGAAGGTTTGGCTTTCCTCTCCCCTTAAAGACTCTAGACTCTAGAAAACTCTCTCCTCGTTACATTAGCCCAGTACTTCTCAAATAGTGGGGCGTCACGGGGGGGCGTGAGAGGCAGGGCGGGACTTTCAGTATTAGTGTCTTTATTAAAGGGACACTTCACCCATTTGCATTAAGCTTTGTATCATTAGAACCCCAGTCATATTTTTGAATGGTCGTGCATCATTCTCTCACTTTCCCTGAGAGGGGAGAAATAAGGATTTCAGTGTTGCACTTCCTGTTTCCAATGATGTAAAAATCGTCATTTTGCATCATTGGAAGCAGGAAGTCTCATATCTCTGTAGAGGGGGTGAGACTACAAACACTACTTCCTCATTTTTTTTTCACTCACGCTACAGACCTATTACAGATCAGTGGGTGGGACTTCACTTGCAGAAACTTAAAAATATAACTGCCATCTTGTTTGGAAGCTAAGCGGAGGCGCTGTGGAGCCAGACGTTACGACTATGGTAATCAATCTAATATGGAAGAAATTTCGAAAGTATGATGGTCGAATCAGATCTTCGTGGCTACCTTTATGAGCCGCTATATAGTGAGCAGCGGCTGAGGCTGCTGCAGCCGAGGCAGAGGACCTGCCTGTCGCGGACGAGGAGCCCGGACTGGCTCGAGCTGGGGCGGACTGCTGGTGCCTGTGCTCTCGCTGTGCGCCTACGGACACACGGACGTCTGACTGTAAAGTGAGTGTTTCTATTTTCTGTCTTATAACAACGTGGCATGTATGTACACAATTTGTTCAAGCATTATCACAAAGTTATTCCCGGTTAATACGTAACGTCAGCCAACTGAACTAACGTTAGCTTCTTTACTGCACAAACAGCTTGCAGTTGCATTGCTAACTACTGTGGCACGCTACACACAAAGACCATGCATCGCTAACTGTGTGCTCAATGTCTTGTAGACAATATCGTCTAACAGCCTTTCTGGAATGGGTCCTGCAAGGCGAGAGATTGGGTCGAGGCCATCGTGTTGTTTTACCCGCTTATGAGGCTATCCGACAGAAATATCCAGCTCCAGATGGCCAGTACTGCGGCACCAAGAAGTTGAGGACGCTCAGGACGAACTATAACTGTCATTGTTAACATTTATTTTTGTTGATATATTTCTGTAAATAAATGGTTTACATTCACGTTGTTGTAGTCCTTGATAGTGTTAGTGGGAGCGGCTTGCGGAGCTGTGCATTGTGGGAGTTGATGTCTTTAATACAAATGCGCCCTAAAGTCACTTGTTGTTTTTTTTATGGTCAAATAGGCACCAAATTCAAAATGTATGTTACATTTCGACTACATATATAACCCACTTTCAATACATATTAATGTTTCCATGGGTGAAATGCTCCTTTAATGCTTGAATGACAAAAAAAAAAAAAAAAGCCTCCAGCCACTAGGGCAGCAGTGCTCAAACGAATCAACAGGATGCCTGTTCAACCCAGTAGAGTAGAAGAAGTACACACGAACACCGGTGTACAGAGAGTTGGTGGAGGAGGAGAGATGGAGAAGTTTTTGACAGGAGTAAAGAGAAAAAGGGAGGAGGCGTCAGAGGAAAGAAAGACAAGTGACAGTGACCGGCATAAACCCAGTAAGAGTAGGAAATATGGCGATGCCTACATAGCTCTTGGGTTTACCGTGAACACGGTCGGAAATGAGGAGAGACCGGTTTGTGTTTTATGCCTAAAAACTCAGCGGACAGCATGAAACCAAATAAATTAAGACGGCACCTTGGAGACCTTACACCCCAGTTATGTCAGCCACTGGAGTTTCTTCATCGTAAACTCGATGAATCAGTAAATATAAAAGCACTGTTAGCCTCATACAAAGTTGCCCACCACATCGCAAGGTGCAAAAAACCTCACACCATAGCAGAGGAGCAAATACTCCCGGCAGCATTGAACATGGTCACAATCATGCTAGGTGAGAAAAGTGCTGAGGCACTGAATACTGTCCCTCTTTCCAATGACACGATCGGGAGACGTATATCTGACATTTCAGATGATCTCCAAGAGCAACTAGCAGAAAATCTAACAGACAAACGTGAGAGACAGCTCTCAGTATGACTGGGTGAGGGATCCATTCAGTGCGACAGCTCCTGCTGAATTCAGCTCTGCAGAAGAGGACCAGCTGATTGACATGTCCTCTGACTCCACCCTGAGGCTGAGGTTTACATCGCAGACACTGAGTGAGTTCTGGCTGGGTGTGGAAAGGGAGTATTCACTCATTGGATAGAAAGCTGTGAACATTCTACTACCCTTTGCAACATCCTATCTCTGTGAGACGGGCTTTTCTACTGTTGCTGCACTAAAAACAAAGTACAGATCCCAGCTTAACATTGAGCAAGAGTTAAGAGTAGCAATATCAAATCTGAAGCCCAGATTTGAAAAGATGTGCAGTGAAAAAGGGCTCACAGCAGCCACTAAATACAACCAGCAGACTCATCTCCTGCCAATTCTTTTACATTTTTTGTTCTAGGAGATTTACTATGCATCTGGCAGAGTGATGGCAAATTGTATTTAAGTTGAATGTGTTATGTGTTATATGTGTTAAATAAGTTTGAAAGAATTGTGAAGGTTAATTGTGTTGTAAAAAAAATGTTTCAGGGTTCAGTGCTTTTTTTATTGTCTTCTGGATAGACAAAATGTTCAGGGAAAGTAAATGCAAATGTTATGCCCTTTTCATCCCCTCTGATAAGCTAAAATATAAGCAATATTGTTGCAATGTTTACAGTTTAAAATTTTGAATGTTACTTTGTTATGTCTATAAAAATGCACATCCCAGTGAATCATTTGCACTTTTTTGTCTGTTTTGAGAATCACACAGACTGAGCAGTCTTGTTTAAATGTTACAAATTGAGTTAATAAACTGAACTTGGAAATTGTTTTAAGTTGTTGCAGATGTTATCTCAGGTCATTTTATTAATCTATTTTGATAATCAGGTGATTGTATGCAGAGTGCTGGTGCCAGCAACTCATACAGTGGTTTGTATAAATAAATCAGGTTCTCAATAGTATTAAAATTCAGGGGGGGCGTGAAAAAAATTCTGTCCTCTGCATTAGCCCCTTTCAGATTGAAAGAATTATTAACCCTTCAGCTGTCAGACTCAAGCTTCCCCAGTCAATGAGAATACATCCCACATTTCATGTATCTCAACTAAAACCTGTGTCATCTCACCATTTCATTCCCCGGATTTTCAATAAAGCCTGTCTTTCAGAATTGTACCAACCGTTTTTGGGGTCTGCTTTTTCGTTCCGCTGTGTAACGTAACAGAATGTCTTCCAGGAGAGACTGAACAGTGAGCCAGACTGACACATGTTATTGAGACATCATCTGATTTGATGATTCACAAAAGGTTCATTAATGACAGATATTTTCCTGTGTTTATATGATTTTGGTATTTAATAGAATTTATTTATCAGAGTAAAAAGCTCAGAGATCTTGTGGAATGTATCAAACTCAGTCTGTTTGAGGGGCAGAGGGGGAAATAGAAAGCACCAGTACACAGAAAGTCGCAAGGGATTTATGGCAACACTGCTTAGTCCGGGTTAGAATAAGGACCCTACAGGAAACTTCATGTTTTATCTTCCATAGGAGCCTTCAAGAGGCACTTTTAGAGATGATTTCTGAACATGGGGGAACCAAGGGAGGGGGCATTGCTCCACCTTGAGTAGTAGAAGCATCAAACACATGTTGATGTGTCACCTGTTTTTGGCTGAATAAAGCAGTTCCACCTTAAAAATCATTGCTTTTCTAGAGTTAAAAAGCACCAAGATATAAACAGTAGATGGTAAAAATGTGGCTTAAGACTGGATAAACAGTCAATGTATGACAGCTTCTGGCAGACAACCACAACACTGACGCAGGCACAAAGGGGATATGACGCCATCGACAGGCGACCGGTGAAACTATACTGGTCTCATTTACCTGAATAAAATGAGAGATTTCTCTGAGTTTGAACATTGTTGGAAACATTTGGGATAATGTAAGAACTTAACTACATATAGAACATGGAGCTAGAGTTTATACACTGTTTAATGATTATACATTATTGATTTAATCAACTACACATCGTTTAAATGCACATTTAATTAATTAATTATTTTACTTACACTTAATTTCCTACTTACACAATACAAATAATACAATAATACAAACTAAATTCACAGCCAAACTGTTTAGACTGACGAACAAGGTTTTGTTTATTTTAAAAAAGAAGTCTTAACTTTTTTTATGGATTTAAATTTGGTAGATATACACAGAGCAAACACATGAACTGACCTCAGAGTCTCCAGTCTACAGTGTGGACTCTCCAGTCCAACACACAACAGCTTCACTACTGAATAATGCAGCTCGTTGTTACTCAGGTCCAGCTCTCTCAGATGGGAGGGGTTGGACTTCAGAGCTGAGGCCACGACTTCACAGTGAGTCTCTGAGAGTTTACAGTCAGAAAGTCTGTGAATATAAACAATATGACATTTACAATATGACACTTTAATTATAAAAACAAGAACCTTAACATGAGCTGTGGCTCAGCTTGTAACTGCACTCATATGTATTCAGTTGTATGTATGTATACAATCATACACAGAACAACATATAGCAAAATATGTCCCACTCAGTCCCATTTAAGCTGTGCTAAGTACTAGGATCAGTGTGCAGCCACTGTGCAGCACCTGGTTAATGGTACTGACTGGAGAAATGAACCTAACAACATATTTGGATTGTGAGGAAACCGGAGCACTTAAAGGAAACCCACACAAACACAGGGAGAACATGCACACTCCACCCAGCTGGGAACCCAGGACCTTCTTGCTGTGAGGCCACAGTTCAACCACTATTTCTCCTACTGCAGTGGTTCCCAACCTTGTTCCTTAAGGGACCCCTTCTTCTATCATTTAGTACACTGACTCATATTTTATGGATATTTTATATTATATTAAAAACTGTACAATGAACCCAAACATTGAACTCAGTAACTGCAGGAAGTTTGTGTAAAACAAGTGATTTGGATGAAGTTTGAGCAGATTATTTCCTGTTTAGGAAACCTAAACAATTCTCTGTCTGTATTATTATTTTTTAAAGCCTTTTAATTTAATTTTAAAGCCCTCAATTTAATCATTCAGACTTAATAGGCTTTTTTTTGTTGGACAAATTCAGTGTTTTCTTGTCCCTGGCGTTTGGTCATTGTTTTATTAGACAATTTACTTTACATTTCATTTTCTTCACAGAATTGAAACAAATGCAACCGTACTATGTATATTTTTGAAGTTTTCTAGCATTCCTTAAAATCAAGAAGACCTCGCAACCCCCTATTAAGCTTTGGCGACCCCTAGTGGGGGTCCCAACCCAGGGCCTCCATCACCAAAATAAAGATAGTTGTAAGACAATAGACAATAATTTATTGACTTTTAGGAACACAAAAATGCCAATTAGAGTAATTATCATTAATCACTAATTATCTAATTATTAAACACAAGCAGGTTTAATACTGATTCAGGAAAATAGTGTGGAAGTTTTATACTGTGAATGTGTGTAAAGTGTGTATCTTCACTCTAATACTGATGGCTTCAGCTTTATGTTGCTTTATAAAGTTAATCACATCTGGACTTACACAGCCTTTCTGCAGTTCCTCACAACTGGAATCAGTCTCTCTTGTCCCTCCACTGATGTGTTGTATTTCTTCAGGTCCAACTCATCCAGAACCTCCTCTGACATCTGCAGCATGTAGGACAAAGCTGAGCAGTGGATCACAGAGAGTTTCTTCTTTGATCTGTTCTCTGACTTCAGGAACTGTTGGATCTCCTGATGGACTGAGTGGTCGTTCATCTCCATCAGACAGTGGAAGATGTTGATGTTTCTGTCAGGAGAGATATCACCACTATTCATCTTCTTCAGGTTGTTGATGGCTTTCTGGATGATTTCTGGACTGTTGTCTGTCTGACCCAGCAGGCCTCCTAAGAGTCTCTGGTTGGACTCCAGAGAGAGGCCATGAAGGAAGCGAACGAACAGGTCCAGGTGGCCATTTCTACTGCTCAAGGATTTCGTCATTGCTTCCATCAGGAAGACATCCAGGGTTGAATCAACATGGTTTTCCCCCAGGAAGTCCTTCAGTACCTCTGTGTTCCTGTTGGTGTGACAGTGGAACATGTAGACTGCAGCCAGAAACTCCTGAATGCTCAGATGAACAAAGCAGTAGACTGTTTTCTGGAAGATCACACTCTCTCTTTTGAAGATTTCTGTACAAACTCCTGAGAACACCGAGGCCTCTGTGACATCAAGACCACACTGCTCCAGGTCTTCTTGGTAGAACATGATGTTTCCTTTCTGCAGCTGTTCAAATGCCAGCCTCCCCAGCTTCAGAAGAACCTTCCTCTCAGCCTCCATCAGCTCCTGTGGACTCGTCTCATGTCCCTCTTCATACTTCTGCTTCTTCCTCTTTGTCTGAACCAGCAGGAAGTGTGAGTACATGTGAGTCAGGGTCTTGGGCAGCTCTCCTCTCTGGTCTGTGGTCAACATGTGGTCCAGAACTGTAGCAGTGATCCAGCAGAAGACTGGGATTAAATACATGATGTGGAGGCTCCTGGAGGTCTTGATGTGTGAGATGATCCTGTTGGACAGATCTTCATCACTGATTCTCCTCCTGAAGTACTCCTCCTTCTGGGCGTCAGTGAAGCCTCGTACTTCTGTTACCCTGTCAACACATTCAGGATGGATCTGATTGGCTGCTGCAGGTCTGGAAGTTATCCAGATGAGAGCCGAGGGAAGCAGATTCCCCTTGATGAGGTTTGTCAACAGCACGTTGACTGAAGACTTCTGTGTGACGTCAGACACAACCTTCTTGGTCTTGAAATCCAGTGAAAGTCTGCTTTCATCCAGGCCGTCAAAGATGAACAAAAGTTTACAGACAGCGAGCTGCTCTGCTGTGACCTTCTGTAATGTTGGATGGAAAACATGGAGCAGTCTGAGAAGACTGTACTGCTCATCTTTGATCAGGTTCAGCTCCCTGAATGAAAACAGAACCACAAGACTGACATCTTGGTTCTCCGATCCCTCTGCCCAGTCCAGAGTGAACTTCTGCACTGAGAAGGTTTTTCCAATGCCAGCGATGCCGTTTGTCAGAACCACTCTGATGTGTCTCTGTTGGTCAGGTAAGGCTTTAAAGATCTCGTGGCACTTGATTGGAGCGTCACGGAAGGTCTTCTTTTGGGAAGCTTCTTCAAGCTGCCTCACCTCATGTTGGGTATTAACCTTTTCACTCTGTCCCTCTGTGATGTAGAGCTCAGTGTAGATCCTGTTGAGGAGAGTTCCACTTCCTGTATCATCAGTTCCTTCAGTCACACGCTCACATCTCCTCCTCAGACTGATCTTATGTCCATCTAAAACCTCCTGCAGACCAGCATTCACTAGAAAAAGAAAATGAGAGAATGATTTTTATTTCCAGAAGAATAAGATTATAAAAGTTATAAATTCCACCTGAAATCATTCTCAATCTCTAAAAGTTAGTTAAAAATAACATGAAAGTGATTTTTACATTCATTTTTAAGAGTTTCCTATTAAAAGGGAAGAAAGTGACAGTCTGAACCTCAACAGCTCGTCTGCAGTTCTTCATTTAAACTGCTCACTGTGTCTGTTCCTTCCTCCTTTTGATATTTAAAACAGATCCATTAATCAAATAATGCAGAATACGTTAATATCTTGTTTTGTTGACCTGTAGCTGCAAATCTCAAAAACACTACATTTCCTAAAGCTGCTTCACAATAAAAGCCTCCTGATGGTTCGTCAGTTGAAAACTTTTATGTGAACAGCAGCAACAGGAAATGTAAAGTTTGCACCAGCAGTAATTAACAAAGCTCTGATATGACTAAAGTAACAGTAAAATAAGGCTGATATCTGAAAGTATAAACAGGAACACCAGAGTGAGAGTAAACTCCAAACCAAAGAGATTCAGTTAGAAGCTACAAAAGTACTGAGAGCTGAACACAGAGAGACTTTTAAAAACAAAGCTTTCTCTCTTGTTATCAGCACAGACGTGTTGATTCAGTCAGTTTTATCTACAGACATGGATTTGATTTGAGGGAGGAGAACATCTCAGGTTGGTCCCTGTACCACTAGCTACACCCCAGTCCATCCACTACACTCTGCTACTGCCAATCAGCTTTCTACTCCCTCATTACGAGGGGCCCTACTAGGGGCCCTTACTGCCCTGGCTCCAAAATGATGGAACAACCTTCCCATTGGCATTAGGACAGCAAAAACTCTTCACATCTTCAGACTGAAAACAAACACCAGTGCACTGCTGCATGTGCTAACTCTACTAGCTGCCATTAGCTACTTAAGGTTAATTACACAACTAGCATAGAAGCTTTGGACTGAGGAGGTTTTCAGGCCTGAGGTGGGGGACCCAGTGGGGGACTGATGCTGGACTGCAGGACTGGAATGAGACCCAGAGCTGGGCAGCGGAACCATGATGACAGCCTGACGGAGGCCAGACTGATAGAACTTACTGCTTTATAGAGTTTAATATGTTTCTATCTTCATCTATGACGACAGACAGCAAACAGCATTCTGACTGAAATATATTAAATATAAATTATTTTTTATTCTAATTTTCTCACAAACAAGAACACGTAATAAGTGATACAGAGGAGATATTTATGCTGGAGCAGAGAAAAACTTAACTAAGATTTAAGATATTTCTAAAGATCTTAAGTGCTGTATGACACAACTAATGTATTAAATAATTAGTAGTGTTTTCAGACGACACCAGCAGACACACATACAGTCTTACTTTGTACAGTGCTGGACTCATTGTCTGTCTGCAGTCCAGGTCTTGTTCTGGGTCTTTTTCCACACTGGGGACAGGAGGAGTCTCCTGGTGAACCAGACTGGTCCCTGTATGAGGTGATGCACTGTCTGCAGAACCAGTGTCCACAGCTGGTAGAGACTGGATCCTTCAGGACGTCCTGACACAAAACACAGCAGGACAGCTGCTCCTCCACAGGAACTCGACTCCTCTTCCTCTCTCTGTGGAGACATTTCTTTATAAGTAAACTGATTTGTTGACTGTAGTTGAAACATATCAACATGTGAACACTGACTCTGTGTAGAAGCTCAGATGGTCACAGAGAACATAAAAGTGTCGTTACTTTTCTGTTTTAATTATTTCCTTTTATTTTGACTCTCCTGCTTTCATGAACACTAATTAACACTTCATGTCTGTCTTATTAAACACGTAGTGATCAGCCTGTTATCAATCTGATTTTAAACAGTATGTACACTAATAGTTCTGCATCATTTTGTGTTTGTCCTCATTACTTATCTTCATCAGGTCAGTTTACAGTAAAAACAGTCTCTTACTGTGTGTCTGAGGGTCCATTACTGAAGTAGATAGGTTCCCTTTTGGACCAGTCACTCTTCATAGACAGACAGCAGCTGGACACTGGGGACTCTGCTCTCCGTCTGTTGTACTGAACTCTGAAAACATCAACAGCTTTTTATTCACATCATAATAAAATCTAACCCTAACCCTAATCCTTGATAAATTCTCTGATGACAAAGTAATTGAAGTAGCTCTAAATCGTTTCTCTTGTTAATAAAGACAGAAAGGAATCTTTCACAGTTGCGGTTGTTTGTGTGATGATGTCATTAACTGTGTAGTAAAGTAGTGGCCTCGAGCCTCCTTCACTTTTTTATTATATCGTTGTTGTACAAAAGGCTTTTATTTTGAAGGTGAGGAGAAGTGACGTAATCACCCCAGTGGAGCGGTGACCCGCCTTTTACACCTGGACACACCTGGACACACCTGTGGGGACTTTTAGTGTATTTCCGCCTTTAACTCAGGTTGTTGTTGTTTGGAGTGACTTTTATTGTGCTACTCTGAGTGTTAAGTGGATGAAAGAAGTAAGTATTGATTCTATATTGTGTTAATGACGACGCACCTCGTTAACTCTCACGTGTGTTTTCCGCCGACAGGTAACGGATGTCCGCTGTTTAACATTGTTTATGAGTATAATGTGAACGCTGATGTTTGAGTGGTTTGAGGGTAACTTGACGTAGTTCAGGTGGTTAACTGCTCAGCAAGGGGGCCGACATGTGCGCCATGAGCCATCGATTATTCAATACCCGGTTTAGCCAGTAGATGGAGCTATTGGACCAGTTAACCTATTATTATGGTGAATATGTATTTCTGTTGGGTTATTTATGTTATTATTATTGTTACACATGTAAAGGAGAGTTGTGTATATTTTTCTGCTCATGCAAGCACATTTGTTATTATTGAGATGAAGGTGTATGATGTGATTTATTGTTATTATTATTATTTCCAGAACTGTGACAACACTGAGTGTTCAATAAATCACCGCAGTCATCAGATCTGCTGGCAAAGAAGACATATCCTGTCCTCATTCCTGTGTCCTGACCAACACCGCATCTTGTTTGCTGTATAACCCTAAACCAGCTAGAATTAGTCCTTCCCTCACAAACAGTTGTAATGAAACCTTTTATCATTGATAGTGACCTTGTAATTGACTTCATTTGCACTTCATCTCTGCTATGCTGAAAATATTCTTTCAAGAGTCAGAGTCCATCCAGGATATTCTTACTGTTGATTTAAGCTGGTTCTAGAGGTGTAATGTTGTCCAGTGGGGATAATAGTTTATTGAACGCGTTTGTGAGGTAATTTGTATCTGAATGAAATGTCAATCTGTCCATGACATCATTAAAGAGTGGAATGAAACTTCCCTCTGTGTGCTCATCAATAACACAAAAACTCACCTTTTTATGGTTTGTCAGCACAGTCTGAACCACAGTGTCAAACGATGCAAATGTGATCCGACACCAAAAGGTCTTTAACAGAAAGATTAATTATGTTCATCCCCAGAGTGAACTCTAAGTCTAATATGTGGCCAAGATGAACCAGATCGTCAGATAGAAAGAGGAAGATGTGACTAATTATTTCTCTGTCGTGAGTCATAAAAACTTATAAATTTAGGTAATTGTCAGCTGTTGGAAGTACAGGTTCCCTCTTTTTGCTATGTTTTAACTTTGTTATTTATGGTATATTCCGTCTTATATTGCATGTTTTTATATTGTGTTAATGCTTGGTTTTATGCTTGGTTTTGAGATTGTTTTAGGCATGCTTCTAAGTCATTCACAGTTCTGCTCACCATCCAATTTTTTTAATTCTTTATTGAAAAAGAACTCCCTTCCCTGTTTTTATTATTATTTGCAATTAAATAATTAATCCTCCTCCCCAAATTTGAAAATATCGCAAATTTGAAAATATCGCCCAACACTATTGAAGAGGAAACTGAAACTGAGACATATAATTGAGTTAACATCAGTGCTCTTACTGTGTGTCTGAGGGTCCATTGCTGAAGAAGAGAGGTTCATTGTTGGACCGGTCACTCTTCATAGACAGACAGCTGGACACTGGAGACTCTGCTCTGTCCTCCTCTTCCTCCACATAAACACTCATCTTCAGTCTGAGAGTCAAACAGTAACACTGACTGTGAGTTCAGACTCAGGAAACAAGTTTGTTTATGAGACAAACACAAGAGAACCGAGAGTAACACACCACACACACACACACACACACACACACACACACACACACACTCACAGTATACAGTAGAATAAACACAGTCAGTAATTATTCAGCCAATCAGCACTTTGTGTCCACAGATCAAACTGTTGAGTTCAGTCCTGTACAGTCCACAGGGAGAAAACTGACTCACACACAGTAAAATAATAATAATGTTGTATTAACACTCACCCTGCCTCACCCTTCTGCTGTCGACTCAAAATGGAGTTTTGCTCCTCCCCTCTCCATTTACAGGAAATCAGCTGTTTATATCTCTGTGTGTCAGTGTGTTTATGAGCGTCTCTTTTTACTTGAACAGAATTAAAATGAGTTTCCATATGTAGGATTCTGAAGTATTTTACGTTTTATTTGTATTTATTAATCACTTTATATTGTGTGTAAACAGGTTGTAACTTAAAAGCTCTGAGTTAGGACACAGCCACTGCAGTTTCTGTTTAATCCACATGGGGGAGTCGGTGCTCCATTTTAGTGGAGGTTCATCCTCCAAAGCAGACACTGAGTATACAGCACTGGGGAAGGCAGACAGACCACCCCACCTCCAGCACTTTCAGTCCAACACCATGCCGTCACGGGGCTGCAGATGTGTGCCACATGGACGGGAGGAGAAAGAGAAAGAGACGGGAAGACTTTTGGATAGAGAACTTAAAAACCAGTTTTCCTTCAGGAGGAAATGTGTCGTTTGATTCCTGTTGAGAAAAAAAAAGGTTTAATGTGACCATCAGTGTACTTTATAGATGATATCAGGTGCATCATTTCTCCCACATTAATGCTATAAAATGATTTGATATTGTAAACTTGCCTTTACTTGCCTGTTGCTGCTGAAGGATGAAGGGAAAGTGGAAATCCAACACACTGTAACCTTTAGACCTGAGGCCTGCAGGCAGAATAATATGAGGGAGAATGAAAACGTCCATCTAACCTCCTGTTTGTCTGTCGTCCTTTATGAAATATTGACCAAACTGAGCTGCTGACACTTATTGTCTCTCCCTTTGTGTGTTTGTGTGTGCGGAGACTTTCATATCTTTACGATTTGGATTATGCATGTGATTATTGAAATACCATAGTTATATATTAATGTATATTATAGATATAAATACCTTAGAAAAGAAGTAGTAGTAGAATTATTGCAGGATGGAATTTATGTTTTTATTTAAGTATTTAAGTTTTATATTAGAAATGTTCAGTTTGGGTCTCCAGCATTTAGAAACTGACAACTTGCATATGTTGGACAATTAGCATAATTAGCTATAGGGACAATATTTCAGCAGCTGATTGGCTGATTTGGATAATATAGGAGTGGTTTTGGGGGTTATTGAGGACGCTAAATCCATTTCTGACATTTTCAAAATACAAAATGGATGTTTAAAGCAGAAATGACTCATTTAAACTCTTAGTGGGACAACAGAGTCATTAGTGTGAATGTTCAGACATAATGTTTCTTCAAATTTGCATTTTGTCATTGACCTCTGTCTTTGCTTTTATCTATTAATCATATAAATAACCTCAAAATCAACCAAAATCCACCCACTGGGAGTTGAAACAGCCATTTTGTACTGTTGTTATTCAGCATCCTCAATAACTCCCAGAACCACTCCTATATCGTCCAAATCAGCCCATCAGTTGCTGAAATACTGCCCATATAGGTGATTATGCAACTCAATGCTAAATATGCTAATTGACCAACATATGCATTTAGTATCTGTCTGTTTCTAAATGCTGGGGACCCATACGGTACATTTCTAACAGAAAACTTCGGTACTAAACAGTCTCACAATGAGGCTCTATTGGCCGGAATATATCCTAACCCTAAAATCCAAATATGGAAATACAACTTTTGAAACATGTTAACATCCAACATCCGGGTGGGGAGGTGTTTGGACTGGGGTCATATTTTGCTTTGCTCAGTGTGTGAGTGTGTCTGTGTGTATTATGGTGAACAGGTGGGGCCCTGTGATTGGTCCAATGGATGCCAGCCGACAGTTATTTACCCTCCCTTCACTGCCACTGCCAACAGTGAACCAGCCTCTTGTCATATGTCGTCTTTAGTAAGTGGAGTAACAGCAGACACACCTTTCAAACATTTGTACAGTTCGGTGCTGTGTATTTAGTGAATATGATCAGCCTGAGATACTGTCACTATTACCTGTAAGTAATCCTCTGTAAATAGCAGTTTGGGAAGAAGCAGAAGAATGTGACAAGAGCTACAGAAGTATCCACTGCTGTATCACCACAGACTACTGCTTCATTCATCCGCAGCTCTCTACCACACAATAAAATGTGTTTGATCTGACTTATTAACCGATTTTACTGAATATAATTGTGTGTGTTTATACGGGCGAAACCCTGGTGGCTCACCACCACCAAGGAGTCTTTGCTGCAGTGGCCATGGAGTGTCTTCCCTCCACTGTCTCCCCGTTTCTTGAGCCGTACTATCGAATAAAGGCACAAAAAAGTTACAAATATTTGTGTATATTTTTTGTTTTTATGAGTAGCGTTATACAACCCTGCGTTGTAAAATTAAATATCCTTGTATCCTTGTATAATGATTCATCCTAAGTATGAGGAGCTCCAGTTGTAAGCTGGTGCCTGGGTACACTCACTAGCCGGTCTCTAAACACCGTTCAATAGAGATCGAGGACTTTCTTCCAGCTTTCATTGCTAAAATAGGTCAGAAACAGTCATACAGTTATAACCTGTATTACTCACCAGAAGCCACAATATAGGCCTATACACTCTAAAAAGTAATTCAGCTGATTTACATGAACTTTTTAAGTTGAAAACTTTATTTCAATGAGTTGTGTTGACATAACTAACTTTGAGTAATCAATGCAAAAACTATAACGTATTATTAAGTAAGCTGTAATTAAAAATACCTTTGATTGTAAAGGAATAGCTAATTCCCCCTAACTCAATGTAGGACATTTGTTGAAGATAATTTCATTAGGAGTTGCCTCAACTCAAAAAGATTGATGCTTTTAGAGAATATATTTCTAAAAAGTGTGTGAATTTACTGGCTTCATACAGCTTAAACTGGCTTTAAGATACAATTTAAATACGACGTTATGGAGGCTTTGAACGGAGGAACAAACAGCTCTGTGAGTGAGAGGAGGAAACTCTCCTCTCTCAGCTCTGATTGTGAGTTTGAGACTCACCAGGAACCAATGAAATCGTTCCTGCACAGACAGGTTTCACATTTATTTTGTTTCATTCTCTATCAGGACTTCTTTGACTTAATAATCAGAGTTTCGTTCTTAGTGATCCGGTTTTATTCATCCACTCTCACTGCTTTCAGTCTGTCTTATTAGAATGTGAATAATCAATAATAAAGGATCTGTGTTGATACTGGAGTTAATTATTACATATTAAATGACATTAACAGTAAAGTAAATTATCTTTACAGATGAAAACAAGGATTCTGTAAATAATCAGAAACTTTCTCAATAGTTTATAAAATAATAACTCGACTCATTATTTTGAGAATGTTTGTCATTATTAATTATTATTTATATTATATTATATATCATTAGTTTAGTTTGACACCCTGAGGTGAATATTTAGAGTTTTTTCTGCTGAGGACGTGGCAGGACGCGGCCGATGTTTTTCTCACCGGTGACTCTCCGCGGTCGCTGCCATTGGTCCACGCCTCGCCAGCAGCCAATCAGGAGCCAGGGCGGTGGGACCGACCTCTCTGACGTCACTGACCGAGAGTGCGCGCTTGCTGAAGTGGACCAATCAGATCGGCCGAGGTGTCCCGGGCGGCACCGGATTGGCTGCGGCAGCCCCGGAAGCAGCTCTGCGGGGCCGGAGTGCGCGATGCTCGGCGGAGAAAAGGAGACGGTCCGGGGCTGAAACACGGTCCGAGTCCAGGTGAAGCTACAGCCGCACAGGTAAGAGCTCAGGTGACTCTCAGACTGTTTAATAACGTGACTCATCTTCATCCTCCTGCAGAGCTCAGCCGGTGGTGATGATGATGATGATGATGATGATGATGATGTCTCCGGTTGTTATTAATACTAACAGTGATTACATCATTTATTACAAAGTGATCAGACAGCAACAGTCAGGCTGATCGATTATAGATCAGATATAACCGGATGTGTTTGTATTAAAGTATAAACTGTGATTAGATTATTTCTGATGATGTCACAGAGAGAAATTCATTCTGTTAATCAATATAATGAGAAACTTTATCAATATTTTCAGAATCAGAAATCCTGTTGTTATTAATACTAACAGTGGTTTAAATTCAACGGGTGATTACATCATTTATTACCAAGTAAGAATTATATAGGCTATAACAATGATTATTGATTATCGAACAAATAGAACAAGTGTTTGTATTTTATATAAATTATGTAAAGTTTCTCATTAAAATGACTTACAGTAAAATAAATAATATGTTTTCAAAGAGGGAAAAAATAAATAACAAAGACTTCTGATCTGCAAATTTTACATTTCAACTTTATTCCAGACACATTAACAATAAAAACAATAAAATACAAACTGCATAGGATTAAAGCACAGACAGACGTGTGACAGACAGACAGGAGGAGATACCTGTCTCACATTTTTACACCCAGTTACTCGACACATACATTTGTACATAAAGTTTCTCAACGCAGCACGAAAAGGTGGAAACGTCACAAACGTCTTATTATTTATTTGTTTATTATTTATTAATGTGATGTTTGGACATTTGGTTCTGAAAATGGTGGAAAACAAACATTTAAATATAAACAAATAAATAAAATCAGACGTTTGTGTCTTTTATCTTTACAGGATTCAAACTGAGGCTAACTTGTGTTTTTTATTAAATATTAATATTATATAATATATATATAATATAAGTTCAAGTCCTCATTCAGTCACAACAGGAGTTATTAAATACTGTGACACAAGTAAAAGCAATAAAAGTATTAATATGTTGTTTAATGTTGTAATATTGGAGCTGAGTTTGAATCCTTTATGTGCTGTGTCGTATTTTATAAACAGATAAATGTTCAGTCTTTATTATAAATGCTCTCTTTGTGTCCGTCAGTCTGTCAGGATGATCCGTCCGTTGCTGATGTGCTTCGTCCTCTGCGTCGTCTTCGGCAGCAGCAAACCGACGGAGAGGAAGAGCCGAGTTCACGATGAAGAACCCCTCAGCCACCTCGAGCACGACGACGGCAAGAACTACGACTACGACCACGAAGCCTTTCTGGGTCAGGAAGAGGCCAAAACCTTCGACAACCTCCCGCCGCAGGAGAGCAAACGGAGGCTGGGGTGAGTCACCTGACTGACAGGAGCTGCGTGTCTTCCTGTAGACTCGTTCAGCTGCAGCCAACTGGAA